TGGCAGACTTACTTTTAAATTTCTGGTTTACACTGGTGAAATAAAATAAACCTAAAAATTAAAACTCTTTCCTTTAGTATAAGGAAAACAAGAGGGAAAACTCAGTACTAACCAGTTTAAATCTAACATTACATAAAACAAAAACAGACTTACCTGGCTATGTTTTTTATGCTAGAAAATAATTAAACCTGTTTAGAGTCCTAAGCACCAAGCCAGCCACAAAAGACTGGAAACAAGAATCAATTTTAAGTTATGAAGACTAACACTCTACACAGTTCCAGAACGTTTTCAGATAACATTCTAAATGATTGTTCTTTTTCTGAAGAAAAAAGAAAAAACCTCCAAACAGCAATAGTTTATCCTTACAACATTCTAGTGATATAAACCGGGAGTTAGTTGTTTTCTCTTCATAGAAAGGAAAGGTCCACTGAGTACAGAAAAACTAAGGGATTGTCTGTAGTTCTGAAACTTGAGCCTGCTGGCCTTCACTCAGAGGTAGATCTCTGCCTGCCCAATGAGGATGCTCTGCCCTTGACACTAGCTACACTTTTCCTGCAATGAAACAAGGTGGGCGATTTTCACAGGATTATGTCCATCCGTTGCTTGAATTTGGTTCTCCTGCAGACAGCATTAATATTTGCTTCTAGATGTGGGGTTCAATTCAGTTCAACTGTGATAATTTTTAATTCACTGCTTTTTTAAAAAAATATAGTTTCTTAAACAAAGAACTCAATGGAAATAATTCACTGCTTTTGACCTTTAGCTCAGAACCTACTTCTAATCAAAATATCAAAAAATGTGGCCACGTGAGGCAGCTCACACCTGTAATCCTAGCACTTTGGGAGGCCAAGGTGGGAGGATTGCTTGAGCCTAGGAGTTCGAGACCAGCCTGGGCAACATAGCGAGACCCTGTCTCTATTCACATTTTTTTCGGTTTTGTTTTTTCTGAGACACAGTCTTGCTCTGTCACCCGGTCTGGAGTACAACGGCACGATCTCAGCTCACCTCCCAGGTTCAAGGAATTTTCCTGCCTCAGCCTCCCAAGTAACTGTGATTACAGGTGTCCACCCCTACCCCTAGCTAATTTTTTGTATTTTTAGTAGAAACAGGTTTCACCATGTTGGCCAGGCTGGTCTCGAACCCCTGACCTCAGATGATCCACCCACCTCTACCTCCTAAAGTGCTGGGATTACAGGTGTGAGCCACCCCGCCCGGCCTTTTTATGTTTTACTTTTTAAATATTTTTAATATTTAAAAAAACCAAAATAACACAAAGTGGCTTGAATAGAGAAAATAAAAAGAAGGAATCACTTTCATTATATAGCAGAAAAACACACAAAATTCCTACTCAAAAGGAGGCATAGGCAAGATACTAGTAAGAAAAAGAGAAACAACTCCCATTGACTGAGCACTCACTATGTGCCAGCCACTGTTCTGAGCACTTGAAATGCATTAACTCATTTATTTTTATAACAAATCTTATGACTGCCATTTTGTGAATGAGAAAATTGTGGCACAAAAATGTTAATAACTTTCCTACGATGATAGGATTCGGTGTCATGGTAAGTATTAACAGAAGAACAAGAATTTAAATCCAAGTAGAGAATCCACATTCTGAACACATTATTCACAAGACAGAGTATAATTTAAAATGTGGTAAATTACAGTGCCACTAGTGACTGCTAAGTGGCCTGGCCACAGCTCGCCATGCTCTTTCCACCACACCACTAGACCCTCTAATGGCAAGAGAATTACGGACTAGACAGGGGATGAGGCTGACTCAGGAGGGCAGCAACTCTATCTTTGTGAAAAATAACATCATATGACCATGTTTACCAAAACCAAGTTGGAAAAAAAAACTTTAAGAGTAAATTTTGGAAAGGGAAGTAGCCATGTTCAAATTATTTTATATAAGGAAATAATTGATTAGAATGTCTATACCAAAAGCCACAAATATTTGCAGAATACAAAAATCTGACTTTAATAAACTTTAAATAATCTTTGGACTGGCAAGCTTTTCTTTCTTTCTTTCTTTTTTTTTTTTTTTTTTTTTAATATGGAGTTTCACTCTTCTTGCCCAGGCTGGAGTACAGTGGCGTGATCTCGGCTCACCACAACCTTCATCTCCTGGGTTCAAGGGATTCTCTTGCCTCAGCCTCTGAGTACCTGGGATTACAGGCGTGAGCCACCATGCCCGGCTAATTTTTTTGTATTCTTAGTAAAGACAAGGTTTCACTATGTTGGCCAAGCTGGTCTTGAACTCCTGACCTCAGGTGATCCGCCTGCCTTGGCCTCCCAAAGTATTGGGATTAGAGGCATGAGCCACCACACCCAGCTGGACTGGTAACCTTTTCGAGGAAAAGAAGCTCTTCCTAGAGTTGGATTTTCCCCTATCCAAACCTATTTTTTCCATTTCTTCCATTAGACCTTTGCTTTGATGATGATGATAATGATGATGATGATGATGATGATGATGACGACGAGGATGCTTTTGCATTTACTGAGTTTCTACTTTATGCTCAGAAACGTGTTAAAGTTTTTGCACTTAATAACATAAACTTTCATTTAATATTTATGACAACCCTACAGAGTCAGCATCCTATTGTCTCCATATTACAGTTGAGGAGAGTGAGAGTTTAAGAGGTGAAATAACTTGAGTTATTAATTCAATAATTAGATAAATTCATTTCTATCTGACCTAAACACCCATAATATTAATCAAATAAGCAAATACGGGTGGTTACCTGACTGTCTCCTCCTTATTTAGAGACAAAAACCACAGTGAGTGCTGCACATTCCAGCCAAATTCCATCACTTCCAAGTACTGGACAGAAATGAACCGATACAGTCAGGAGGCTCAAGAGAGCCACACTGGGCAAAGACTGGCTAGAAATCTAAGGGTGCTTTTGCCACTCTCTTTAAACCAGAAAGAAGTACACTCTCTTAAAAGTAAATGAAATATTTATAAAGATGATCTAACTAGAAAAACATCCCAAAGACAGACCACATTTATTAATACAAAGTTCATCAGGGTTCTGAAGGAAAAAATGAGGTATTTTAAGACTGCACTAAAACACAAAAACTCAAGGAGAGAAGTAAATCTCCTATTTTAAATTTTAGACTAAAATGTATTTACATGTGAATACATTATCTATAGCTGTATATTATTATGTTTTGATAAGCAGTAAATCATGAAACTAGATCTTAAAAGGAAAACCACGATGGAAATGTTTAAAAAATTTACTGAGGTAATAGAAAATAACTTCAATACTGTGTACATTATTATTAAGTAATGTATTTTGTTAGAAAGTATAATCTATAAATAGGCACAGTAAATGTTTGCCTAAGTAATATATTTCTACTACAACTGATTACCAATGTGGATGATAAAATATGAGAGAAAAATAAAATGACTTCTCTCTTAGCTTTCCTACCCTTACCCCCTCACACCTAGACCTCCCGCTCCAACCACTTGCGCTTCTCAGGAAGTGCCACACTCTTCTAAGTGCTGGTGATGTGCACAGTTCCGCCCCTGCCTGGAACTCGCTGCTCCTCCCTGTTTCCGCCTAAGCCACTTCACCTATCCTCCTCCAGGAAGCCTCCAAGATCCCCTCCTCTGTGCTGGCATCTATCATTGCACTTTTTGGTATCCACAAGAGACTAAGAATTCTTTGATGACAGAATTATTACTGTCTCTCATTGCTTTTTATATCGCAGCACATGGCACTTAGCTAAGGTACTCAATACAATAAGTGAATGCAAATAGATTGTAAATTTGACTTTTTTCTTTTTTTTTTTTTAAGAAATAAAAGGAGGGGCCGGGCGCGGTGGCTCACGCCTGTAATTCCAACACTTTGGGAGGCCGAGGCGGGCGGATCACCAAGTCAGGAGATCGAGACCATCCTGGCTAACACGGTGAAATCACGTTTCTACTAAAAATACAAAAAATTAGCCGGGCGTGTTGGCGGCGCCTGTAGTCCCGGCTACTGGGGAGGCTGAGGCAGGAGAATGGCATGAACCCGGGAGGCGGAGCTTGCAGTGAGCCAAGATGGTGCGACTGCACTCCAGCCTGGGTGACAGAGCAAGACTCCGTCTCAAAGAAAAAAAAAAAAAAGAAAAGAAAAGATATAAAAGGAAAAATATGTCTAAAATGCAAATCTTGCACAATTTTATTCTGGCCCTCATTGTTCATAGGGCGTATTTTTAAAACACATGTAGAAGGATTTACTGGACATTGTCAACTGTCCATCACTATAAATATTTCACACCTCTGAGCCATGTAAACACGCTGTTACTTCAAATTGGTTATTATTCAACGAATGCATAAACTCTGATGGTATAGTTGAATAATTATACATATAAAATAAAACCACTTCAAAACCATGATAAAAATTAAAAAGTACAATGGTAACTACAGTTTGGATAACTAGACGCTCCCTAGCTCTGCCACTGGCTCCAGTGGGGAGAAGTCATTTATCCTTTGGTCTCATTCCCTTCACCCATGAAATAGGGGTAACCATTCCTGCCACTTCCTCCTCCCTTCGCATCTTGCGAGGAGAATGGGGGTAAAACATCTGTAAGAGCACAGATCTGACAGATATTCATAATAAAGAGCTTTACGATAAAGGCACTAGCTCAAAAGTAGTGCCTAACCCCAAAGAAGAGTTCCCACCATCACTTCCGACGGTAACAACCCTGACTCCCCGCCGCTCTGGTTAGCAGGCTGATGCAGGAGGCTCCTGCATGAAGACTTTGCAGTCATACTAAAGGCCACATGGGTGGGCACAAGTTCCTCTCGCCGGTGCTTGGTCTGAGCCAAAAGCCGCGAGGAACTTGGTCACCACCAGCGGCTACGATCACTCCCCTCCGGACCCAGGTAAACCTGCAGAGTGAAACAGACCCCGGGGCTTTCCCCTCCTCCAAGTGGGGTCAGGAGCCGAGGGGCCAGAGCAGCGGGAGGAGAAGGAGCTGGGACTGGAGGGCTCGGGCGAGGAGCTCACCTGGCCTCGCCGGCAGGCGCCGGGAGCGGGTGCGGAACGAACACCCCACAGTCAGGCTGCGCCGGCTGCTGCTTCTTTTTGGAGCGCCAGAGGTGGAAGGTGGTATGCTTCTTAGGGGGCCTGCACTGGCTGGGCTCCCCGGGGTCGCCCTGGGCTGGCGGGGACAGCGGCATCGTCTTGTCCTCCTCCCGCTGCGACTGTCGGGACGCGATACTCTCTGCCGCCTGGGCCCTGTGGAAGAACACACCTGGGCGCCAGCTCCCCAGACTTTCCCAGCGCGCCGTGGGACCCCGCCCCCTCGTCGCGGATGCGGGGGACGGCAGCGGGTTGCAGAACTAGCACCACGCGCAGCGCGAGCAGCACTGCAGCCCGAGCTCTTGGGGCGGAGGAGGGGACCCAGCCGCGGGAGAGCGCTGCGCGGGCGGCAAGGGGCGCGAGTCCAGGTGAGGCGCGCGAGCCGGGAGCCCCAGGTGAGGCAGACACGCCCCGGCTCCCCACCCCCGGGGCGCGCGGCGGCCGCGGTACAGCGACACCTACTGGATGCTCTGGGCACCGCGTCTCCCAACACTGCATCCCAGGCTCTTAGCTGGGACCCAGAGCCGATCCGGCTTTGACAGCGCCTGGGGTGCAGCGGCCATTGTCGCCTGCGGAGTTGTTGGCTGCTCTTGGCCTGTGACAGGCTGGTAGGATGAGTCGCTGCTTAGCCACGAGCCCCGTCTGGAGAAGGATGGGAGAGGCACATCCCGGGGGCGGGCCGCCCAGCAATTAGGACTCTTCCACTCTGATCTTTGGGTGACTTGTGCAATGTCATGTGCTGGTGGCTTCTGTTCCTGTTCGTGAACACGGGTGGCAACTCTGCCAACTCCTCTCCTCTCTCAAGAGCCTGAATAATTAATTTGTACTCACATCTCATAAAACACAAAAGGATTTAAAAAATTTAAAAAGCCAGAAGGGAATTAGGCATATTCCCTGATTCCCAAAGGGCTTAATAGATCCCTCGCAGTAAATTAAATGCCAGTCCCACAAGGTATTTACATCATCTGCATTACTGTTGATGACTTTCTTGTCTTAACTTCACAGTCGTGGCTAAATAGCAAAGGAAATTAATACTTAAGCAAAGTAAGTAAACGAACAATTATTTTGGGTATCATTAGAGCAAAAAAAGTGCAAGAACTAAGTACTACTTAAAAATTCAATGCAGTACAAGATCCTCTTTCATGGTAATAAGTCTTTATTTTCCTCTTGAAAAACACAACTCACTCATTCGTTTATTCTCTCATTCACAGAACATTCATTTTTATTTGTTTTTATTTACATTCTTATCAAGATGTAATTTATAGACAGTAAAGTGCACAAATCATAAGGGTAAAACTCAAATTTTTACATATTTATGTGGTTGGGGTGTAAAAAGTTTTTTTAATGGAGAGTTCACATTGTCCTAGAAAATTATTCTGTATGTGGCTTTTAAATATATGATTATAGGCCGGGAGCGGTGGCTCATGCCTGTAATCCCAGCACTTTGGGAAGCCGAGGCAGGCAGATCACTTGAGGTCAGGAGTTCGAGATCAACCTGGCCAACATGGTGAACCCTCTTCTCTACTAAAAATACAAAAAGAGATTAGCTGGGCGTGGTGGCAGAGGCAAGCCTCTAATCCCAGGTGCTTGGGAGGCTGAGATATGAAAATCGCTTGAACCCAGGAGGCAGAGGTTGCAGTGAACCGAGATGGTGCCACTGCACTCCAGTCTGGGCAACAGAATGAGATTATGTCTCAAATACGAAGAAGAAGAAGAAGAAGAAGAAGAAGAAGAAGAAGAAGAAGAAGAAGAAGAAGAAGAAGAAGAAGAGGAGGAAGGAGGAGGAGAAGAAGAAGAAGAAGAAGAAAATATATATGATTATAAAAACATAGAATACTTTCAAAACTTTAGAAATCTCCCTACTGTCCTCTTCCAGTACATTACCCCTCCCACCTGTAAAAGTTAATCACTATTTCGTCCTCTTGCTGGAGATTAATTTGATCTTTTCTGGGACTTCATTTTAGTGGAAAATCACAATATGTACTCTGTTTCTGGTTTGCTTTGCTCAATATCAGTTGGTAAAAATCATCTATATTGTTGCTTATATTTTAGCAGTTTTTTGTCTTGTTTTGTTTAAGACAGGGTCTCACTCTGTCACTCAGGTAGAAGTACAGTGTTACCATCACCTCTCACTGCACTCACTGCAGCCTTGACCCCCCGAGCTCAAGTGATCCTCCCACCTCAGCCTCCTGAGCAGCTAGGACTACAGGCACACACCACAGCACCCGGCCAACTTTTTTTGGGGGGGGGTATACATTTGTAGAGACTGGGTTTTCCCATGTTGCCTAGGCTGGTCTAGAACTCCTGAGCTCAAGTGACTTGCCCGCCTCAGCCTCCCAAAGTGTTGAGATTACAGGAGTGAGCCCCTGCACCTGACCCATACCAGTTTTTCATTTAAAAAAATTATTGTATACTGTTCCATGATATGAATATGCCACAATTCATTTATCCATTATTGTGGATGGATGTTAGGTTGTTTCCAGTTTGGGGCTATTATGAATAAAACTGATATGAACCTTCTGAGATGTACACATTCACTTCTGTTGGATACTTATACCCAGCAGTTCAATCTTTGGGTAATATGATATGCATATGTTCAGCTTTAGTGAATTCTGCCAAAAACGTTTCCCAAAATGGTTGTACCAATTTATATTCTTTCTAGCATGTTTGAAATTTCCAGTTTTTCAATATCTTCATCTACTCTTGATATTAACAATCCTTTTCATTGTGGCCATTCTGATGGGGATGTGGTGGTATCACATTGCAGTTTTAATTTATATTTCCTCAAGAAACAGTTATTCAACTTATTGAGTACTGTACTAATTACATGCCAGGCCCTGACTTGGGAGAGGAGGCAATGACAGATGCATGGATTATATATATATATATTTTTAAAAAATCATCTGATACATATCATCTGATATATATATCATCTGATATATATATACACATCGAAGGCTAAAACAATCAGTGGAGGTATGTACAAGGCATTAGGGGAGTTTAGAAAAGTTACTAACTTAGTGTGGTAGTTTGGAAGGAAGGAATGGGAGTGGTCAGTAAAGATTTGCTATGAAGATGGTCCTTGGATTGAACCTTAAAGGGCAAAGGGAACAGTAAGAAATGGTAAAGAAAAGGGAAAGGGAAGAAGGAAAAGAGAAGAAAAGGGGGGAAAGGGACAAGAAGAAATCTTTATGCACAGTCAAAAATATTTCTACATTCAGTAACTTAGTCTTTCATTCCTGGCTTTTCCAAGCAGAATTGCTCACTCCACCCCTCCTTTGTGCCACCAGTGAATTAGGAACGTATTTTTGTTATCACACTTTTCAGGTTGCATCGAACTGGTTTACATTTCTATATCTTCTATTAGCCTCAGAGAAACTTAACATTTCTCATTTATCCTTATATTTTCCAGACGCAAATCTCCAGTAAGTGAAGTAAGTAATCAAAAGAACTGGTGTACTCACTCAGTTGGATACATAGGATGTTTCAGACAGATCTTTTTTTCTCTCTTTTTAAGAGATGGGGGTCTCACTGTGTTGCCCAGGTTGGTCTTGAACTCCTGGGCTCAAGTGATCCTCCTGCCTCAGCCTCCCAAAGTGCTGGGATTACAGGTGTGGGCCACCATGCCTGGTCACAGAGAGATTTTTTAAATTGTACACTTCATAAGAAAAAATTTTACATGTCTCTTGTTCTCAATTATGTCCTCAGTAACTAGCACAGTGCATGGTGCAGTGTAGGCACACAACATGTATTTGTTATAAGAGTTAAGAAAGTAGAACTCTGCATAGAATGATAAGACACAGTACCTGAGATTAATCTAGTGAGAGAGACAGACACTTAAGAAAACATGAATAGTAAAACTTGGTAAGTGTTCTAACCAATGCGGGTCAGTTGTTGTTTTTCAGTCACTGCAAGAATGAATCCACTCAGACTTATTTAAGCAGTAAATTAACCTACCAAGGGATTTTAGGTGGCTCATAGAATATTCGAGAGAGCCGAGAGCAAGGCTCTGAAGCCCAAGCATCCTCAACCACTCCAGGTAGCTGTTTTGACAAACACCACTCTTACCATCTCTCAGCACTATGAGTTACATGCCAGCAGCTCTACCACTGGCCACCCCAACGATCAAAGGCCTCTTCACATCCATCTTACCTGAAGATTAATATCCTGCCTCACTCCCATGACCAGCGCATATATTGTTCACTTCAAGCAAAAAAGTTCCCTGCAGGTACATCTGATTAGAAGAGCCTAAGTTATTTAACTGTTTCCTAGCTAAAGGGAAATTTGGGTTTCTGGGGTTCTACCTTAGAGAAATGGAATTCATGGGCTAAAATTTGTCAAACATAGTGGAGGTATTCAAAATAGGCGAGGCAGCCAAAAGTGTGAATGGTGGTGACTGCTCAAGGAAAGGGCAAAGGGCTACGGGAACACAGAATAAATGACTAACTCTGCCGATTAGCTCAAGGAAGTCATCAGCAGGGAGGTGACAGGTTTATGAGCTTAACTAATGCATAAGAATTTGCTAGATGAAGAAGAGAGGGCGGACAGTCCAAGAAGAGTAAACAACACGGGCCGAGGCCCAGGCTTGTGAAAGGGCATGCATTGCTGGTGGGAAATAATCAGAAGGTCAGTGATGTTGGAGAAGAGAGGGATGGAGTGGGGCAAAGTGGCAGAAGGTGATTCTGGTAAAATCAGATATAAGTCATGCATAGATGATATATATCAAAGTCTAAAAGAATCAGTGGAGGTATGTACAAGGCATTATGGGGGTTTAGAAAAATTACTAACTTAGTCTGGTAGTTTGGAAATGAGGAAGGGGAATGGTCAGTAAAGATTTACTGGATTTCTAAGCACTTGATCAGTCACACTTTTAAGGAGTTTGGACTTAGTTTCGTAAGCACTAGGGACCCAGCTTACATTATTAAGTAGAGGAGTGACGCAAACAAACTTCGGTTTTATAAAAAGTACCCTGGATGGAGTGAACTAGGAAGAAACTAGGAAAGTGAAACTATTTGAGGGAGACCAGCTAAGACGTTGGTGCAAGAGGTCAGGTAAGAGGTGATGGGATCCCCTACCAAGGCAGTGGGGTAGGAATGGAGAGGAGGGGATGGACACAAGACACATGTAGAAGATGGAATCACCAGGACTTGTAGTGAGTGAGAAAGAAGCCATCAAAGATGACTATGAGGTT